TGCAAATAGCAGGGTATTTTCAAGCACAGACACTTTCATCTCTGTTCTGGAACCCCTATCACCTGTCAGGTCTTATGCAATGTTTACTTCACATATTTCCTTGTTCCACCATGTCAGAAAGTCCTTTCCAGCACAGGCTGAAAGAACACAAAGGTCCTCACTGCCTTGACTAGAAGTGCCTAATCTCTGAACATCCTGGTGCCATTGGTAATGTACACTGGGCTATACCAATCCTCCAGTGTGAGGGAACACAAATGATTTTCATTCCTTATTGAAATACCTCCACAGACTCCTGGACCGATATAAAAAGAGACAGAATATTTTAATAGCGTATACATTTAGCATATAGAAAGACCAACTAGCTTGACAAAAAAAAATACAGTTAATGACAGATTTTATTCATGTACTACTTTTCTGAATGTTCTATTACCCCATTAGAAGCCTAAATTCGCAATTGAAAACATCTGTTATTTGGTTTACTCACTCTCCACTTCTTGGACCAAAGTAAGCAGTATGTCCTACCAGAATCTTAATAGTTTGAAAAACATATCAGTTTCCATGAACTCTGAGACCAAGAGTTTTCTGCTGAGGCTTTTTCCCTGAGAAAGTATAGCAGAACTGCTTGACAATGCTCAGAAACACCTGCCTCCTACTAAGTAGGTCTCTTCTTGAGCTCAGTTTATTTTGTCTCGGAAGAAAAAAAATATGTGATCATTAGCTATAAAACCAAACATATTCATTCACCTAGAAGCATGATCCAGCCAATATTAGTCACAAACCTTAATGCTGGGCAAAGCCACTCACATTAATCCCATCAGGAATGTGGTGCTGCTACAGTTTGCATCAGCAGAAAAGCACATCTGTCTGCGGTAATGAGATTTATTGTGCAGGGAAAGTCCAGGAGCGTCTAAAACCAATTTAGCATTAAAACCTCGACTACTTTGGGTTGTCATAGAATTGACAAAGGTGTAAGGGCAGATTTTCCTCCCACCACTCATCTGGCTGTGGTGTTTGCCGCTGCACTGAATACTGAGACTGCCCATGAGGCATCTCAGCAGAGCTCTGGGGAAGTGGCAGTGAGCTGAAAGGCATGGATCCTTTCTGGATAACCAAAAATCAGCTAGGAATGAGAAAGCAAAACTGCTGATGCCCAAACACAAGCTACAAGCACCTTCCTTGTTTGGAGACAGGTACAGATTGCTTTTCTTCAAGTTATGATGCCCAGTATCCAGTAAGCTCAGATGTACTGTGCTATACTGTTTTGTATTGCTTTTGCAGTGATAATATATCCTTCCTGCTTTGAGATGAGATTTGCAAAGCACAAAAAGGCATCTGTATTTCTAAACACAGAGTAACATTTACATTCCAAGCAAGGAAGTCAAAACAGGCAACAAAGCAGAAAGGGGAGCTGGAAACAGCAAATACATAGAAAATTAAGATACAGTTTATCCTAATGTTTACCCATATTCTAATGCTTCAAGAAGACTGAACACTTTGACATAATTTGAAGAGCCTTTGCCAGCCAGACTGTTTGATGTTGTGTTGGCTCTGTGACAAAGCCAGTCTGTACAGGAACGCTGGCATTGTTTTCTGATCAAAGCGAGCCCTAATAGTATTAAACCTGAGTTGTGGTCTGACGTGCTTTCTTCCCTCAGCTATCAGTTCTCTACTTTGCTATGAGCTTTTTCTTGAGCTGTTGCATTATGATATGCTGCTGCTGGCTTAAAGCATGCTCAGACTTTTACTACAGCTAATAAGAGATGATATTCCTATATTTTCTGCTACACTGGGTAGGGAGACAGGAGGGTGCTGCATACACAGAAAAGGCTGCTTGTGATGGTGATACTCAGTTTCTGTTGACTCCAAGGATATTGCAAGGGAAAAGGGAAGCGGGAGAGCTTTAACAATTTTTGGATTAAACACTTGTGTAGTATAATAGTTAAATGTGATTTTAAAAGTAAGCATGAGCTTATGTTCCTTTTATGAAAGGCAGGGGTAGTGCAACTGTGGCTATAGCAGGATGTGAGTGGGTTACCCCAGTAACCCATGCACCACCCTCACAGGATGAGATGCTGCCCATTTGTGTAGTTCTCTCACTTTATACTTGTCTTTGCCTTCCCAGGTAGTAAAAGGATCTTATCACTTCAAATAAAAGCAAACTGACTTGATATTGCAAAATCAAATGTCAGATGCTCAGAAAATACAGCTCTATGGATGGCAACCGAAGTGCAATAGATTTGACTTCATAACTCAGGTCTCAGTTTGCTAGCACTAGTTTCTCTGCTCAGACGTGACACAACCCATCTAAGAGCACTTTACAGAGAACTTACAGCTAGAGTTAAGGGTTTATCCATTGCTGTTTCTTCACAAGGTCATATTGTCCACTGCAATCACTGTTGCTGCTGCAACTCATATTTCTCTTTTGCTGACTCTGATTGCATTTATACATGATGCCAACCAGAGTGAGCATGAGGAAATGTGAGAGTCAATGATGCTACAGGCTGGATATGAGCTCCTGTAGTCACATTTATCACCTGCCTTTAAATCTTTCAGTGTGGTCTAACACTGTCTGCTTGGAAGCAAGGTAGTCAAGCAGACTCTTACAGTTTTTGAGTAGCTGTCATTGGTTTAAAATGACTTAGGCTTAGTAGATATTCCATCTTTATAGCACAATAGACCTGACCTAAATAGGTGAAGAGGTATCCCTATCAAAGCTGTACCAGGCATCAGGGATGGACAAGAAGACTTAATAGTAAACAACTTTTAGATCTTTTTACAGAAGAACTCAAGCTGAATTTATTATGAAGTTCTTAAATGTCCAAACACATTTTATTGCCGTCTGGTTTCCAGATGGCTGTGCATCCAGAACACCAGAATACCACAAGAATGCTATTTTTTTTTTTCCCTGATGCAATCAGAAGCAGCTGTAACAGAGGGCTATAGAAAAATCTGATTGTTAGAGTATGCCTGTCTCTGTTTTTCAAAAAAAGAGACGTTTAGATAATTTGAGTAAACTTTACAGGGGCATCCAAACATTTAGAATTGCATTAGGATACACATTTCAAGCTCTTGGAATCATATCCTTCACTAGCTCCTTGCTCCTAATAAAGGAAGTGGAACACTTCAGTGGGTAAAATTCAAGGGACAGGACTCTCATTTAGCCCAACTGTAATAAAAAAGGGTGGCTCTACCAGTATCACTGGAACTCTCTGCTGCTCAGTTTCCCCACTGATCTAGGGAATCAGACTTCTAAAGCAATTTGTTGGAATTTTCTGGAGTGTGGAATTAACACCTTTTTTTTAAAAAATACATTTTTTATTATTAACTGCATCCATTTGCAGTCATGAATTTACTATTTTTGGAGACAAATTTTATTCAGCATCAGGGGTTTAATCAGCAAGGTGTCAGGAGGCCCTGGGACTAGCTGGCTCTGAAAGTTGAAGGCATACAACCAGCTCAGAAGCTGTACAGCACCTTGCAAGATGAAGACCACAAGGGCTTTATTTAGTATTTGCACTTCATTGTAAACCTATTGTCTGCCTTTCCAGCCTGGCTTTCCACTCCTGTATTCAGCAGGTTTACAGAGCTACCTTCACACGCCCTGCTCAGAACTTGCCCATATTAAGCAAATGACACCCTATGGAAATCTGCATGAACCTCATGGTGAAGGGCAGGAAAATGAAGCTGCTTTTAAAGTTTTTATTTTTATCTGACTTTATGGAAAATATAAAAACAGGACAAGGTTATAATTAAGCCAAATAATAAATTCATTTATATTAGTTCCCAGTAGCTAGAAAGAATAAATAATATCTTAATAAACAAATCTAATTAAGTGAAGACAAATACTAGCTCATGGGCATATATGGAAGTTGGCTGAAACTTGCAGCAATCTTGACTCATAATAAAAATTATTTATTTAAAGACTTATTATGAACATTGCAGGAAAGGTGATAACAGACATGCACCACTTTGTTTACAGTAAAATTTCCTGTAAATTAAAGAGTTCTTATTCTTTGTTTGGTTTTGATTTGGTATTGTACCAAGTATCTGTTTATAAAAGGAAATATGACAGTACAAAGTGTACAAAATGAATTGCAAAAGAAATTACCAGTCAAGGTGAATTTGCTGTAAATTAAGTCCTAGTAACACAGACAGTGTAGATCCCATTATTATCCCATATAGGTAAAGGAAGTCAGTTCAAGGCAGATCTTTCATGCACCGTTTTTGAGAGCTGAACTACCTGAAACTCAGGACAGAAAGCTACTCTCCAAAAAAAATTTAAAAAAAGATTCAGATGACTAAGAGATATGACAGGAAAAAAAGTTGCAGAGCACAACAAAGGTAAAGTTTGTTATAAAGTAGGCACTGTGTTCCAATGGATTACGTATTGAGGATTTTCCCCATTTTGGTGAGGTTTTTGTTTATAACACTCCCTAAACAGCTTATTAAAGAATCTTTCTGAAGTCATATTTATATGACAAAGTATGTCTCAACCTCAAATCATCTCATCCCACAGAGAATCTTCAGTGGGGACTCCTGGGTGAAGATAACGTATTCAGAGTTGAAAAAGAATAATGAAAAAACACATTATATATTTTATCAGGAAACCGTAAGAGGATCTGTTTGTAGAAACAACTCCTTGGGTTGAATTAACACTGAACCCAGCCTGGTATCTCTAGTGGTTGGAATTCATGGGTCCCCAAAGTCTCCACCCAGGGAAAGAAAATATTTGTGGATGGAAGCACTGGGTTATATTAATTCTCCTACATATAACCAAGATTTACATGGAGGATAAAATTGTGAAATCAGTGACATTATCTGAAGGCCAGGAATTATCCATGTACATGGGGTTCACTTCAAACAGTCCTAAGATCCATTGTTTGACATTTAGAGCTACAAAATTAATGCTGGATTTTTAAAATCACGTAGTTAATGAAAGCAGTCTGCAGCCAATCCTGTGTATACAAGTTCAGTGGTTTAGAAGGTATGTGAGCACTCACCTGGGGGCATGTGTTCATTCATGATGACGAGCGATGCTGGTGTAGGCCTTCTTTTCCTGATCTGTAACAGATACAAACCAAGGAGAATAACTAGGGCCCATCAATTGCCACACACACAAGGCAAAGCAAAAAATCTGTCTGGTGTCCTCCAGAGTATAGACCAGGCAAAGTCAGAAAGGAAACTATTTAAAGAACAGCAGCACTTCACCGTCTTACTGACAGCTTGTCTGGTCTGACAGCAATCAGGGTCATGCTGCTGCTTGCTCAGGGAGAACAAAAGCACAGGGTGAGCTGTCCAAAATACCTTAAGAATTTGTAATCATCTTGACCTAAGTTTTTGGATATGTATTGCTGAAAACTATCAGTCACATCTTAAAATTTGACATTTAGCTTTGCATGGAAGATGCTTGCCGTAGTTTGTGAGCTTGTATGTGCAAGTACCTACCACTGCCACAACTCTCACAAGTAATAATTAATAATATTTTGCAAGTGCATTTCAGAGTTTTGGAGGAATATTTTCCAATGAACTTATATTTCTAAACTGTTGTCAGAGGTGTTACTACTGTTCTTTAACTAAAAATACTTCAGTATTTAAGACCTTAAAAAGAGTATTTCCCATACAGCAGATTTTACAGACAATTATAGTCCTGAACTGTATGGAATTCTTCAGAGTTTATCTGGGTAACTACTTTTGTTCCATTAACAGTGGCTGAACTGTATGGTATTGGAATACCCTCCTATAATGCACACATTTGCACTGAAAGCTTTGTGTTTTGTATTGCTTCATGAAAGCCTCCAGGCCTGATATTCTATTGAATTTAAGAGGGGGACCAGGAGCATTTATGCTAAAAACCATTCTGACACAAAACCTCAATGTCAGTACATTTGTTCTTTTTTTATTTGCCAAGCCAACATCTGTATTTAGCTGGGTTCAAATTTTGCTTTCAGAGGTGTAAGTGGAAAATTACATCATCAGGGTTAATGGGTTTATTCCAGATTAGTGTAACTGTAGCTGACTGTAGAATTTACTATTCTAATTTCATCACACACCCACAGTGAAACTGTATAGCACTTGGAATCAAACTCACAACACACAAAAAAAAGACTGCCCATAAATACCAGGCAGAAAACAGGCTACAGCATTTCAAAAGCCATGGGAATTCCAGGAAATCTTAATCCTATGATTCTCACAGATTTCAGAAAAATACCAGAACACATCCTGCTCAAATTAATTGCAGAACTGTTCTGTAAGGTACGGACATCTTGCAGCTCAGAAGTGCCTGTGGACAAAATGAGGACCTGGAACAATTCTTTTCTACACCCTTCTAATATTTTGCATTCAGTGGTCACTCACAACTCACCATTTTCTGGAAAAGGTGTCTGCCTTTTAAGTGACACAACGTCTGAATATCCAGGGAACCAGATAACTGTCCTAAAGGTGCAAATAATTTCATAGATAATGGTGTGGAACTTCCAAGGTTATATTATTCCCCTGATATCATCTAAAATCAGACGTACCCAAATAGAAGCAAATGTTGAGAAGGACTTGCACAGAGAGAAATATACTGGGTCACCTAATTAAGATTTATCCAGTTTTCTCACAAGACTGCATGTGACCTTTTTTAGGCACATCTACACATATCTGTACACAGTTATAGATATATTTTCCTCCTTAGACATCTTTACTTATATCTATATCTATATCTATATCTATATCTATATCTATATCTATATCTATATCTATATCTATCAGTACAGTATATATATGTATATATTATTATGTGTATCTTTTGGGAATGAGTTAAAACCTAAAATAGGACACACATTATTCCAACAAGGACATAACTACGGCATATTTCCACATGTATATATTTTTCAGACAGGTAAAAACACTGTAAAAATGACTTATAGACTGTAAAAAATAATGAGAAATACAGAAAGTAACTGAAATGATGACTGTTGTGCAAAACATTAATTGTATTTTCTCATGTTAAAATGAAAGGTAAATAAGATATCCTCTTCCCAATATTTCTGTTAGGTACCTATTATCACCTTTGTGCTTTGCTTTATGTACATATACTACATTTGATCTGTTGAGAATGTATTCATTGAATGTATTCATGTCAAATGTAAGTATTAGGGTAGAAGTGCAGTTACAGAAAAGGCACAACAAATATATGCTAGCGAATCTACTCAAGGTGAAGAAGCCTTATTCTGGCTAGAGGACATATCCTTCTTCCTCTTTAAGTGCATCGACCATGGCTATAACCTCCAGAGTATTTAATCTACAGTTTCACTACTATAAGCTAGAAAAGCCTTTAGGCCACAAGTGTCACTTGTTCTCCCCCACATCTTGCCCCATTCCTACCCCATTCCCTTAAAAGTGTGGAGGAAACTCATCTTCCTTACCTGTTCAGCTGCCTCGGGATCTATCTGGCTCTGAAACAGGGGCACAGCAAACTGGATTTTTTTGGGGCTGTTGGGCTCCATCGTGGTGCTGAGGTGAGACAGACGAGAGGCGAGGCTGGAGCTGGAGACTGGGTCTGTGCCTCTGCCCCGGCGCCGTCCCCACAGCCAGGCTGAGCTCCGCAGTAACAGCTGTAACTCCCGACTTAGCACGGGAATCTGCGGGAGCCGAGCAACTCCCTTATGCCACATCCACAGAGATGCCACTGGCTTGGCTATTTCCCTTTTTTTTCTCCACTCTCCCCTCTCTTCAGCAGCCCTTCAGATCCTCTCAGCAGAAAGCTGAAAGGAACAATAAGCTAATTGTGTACCAGCTCACTTCTACATATGCCAAGCATTCACTCAGAAGCTAATTGAAAATGCAATACTAGCATTGCATGGCCTGGAGCCTTGGGATTTGAAAAAGAGGATCTCTCCACCGTATATTACTAACTGGCTGCTCAGAAGTGCAATGCAAGCTCCCTCTGAGTATTGCTGATGGGCTCTTAATTATTGATGAACACAAATCAGGAAGTTTTCAGATTTTGGGGGTGGAGGTAGCAGGAGGGGTGGATGCAAAAATTTGATCTCTGTTACAGTGTGCCAGAACTGCTCTCCTCTTTTCACATATCAAACAATTCCCTTTGCTCTTTCAAATATTTTTTAAAATCTTACAGTTTTAGACTCCACTAAATCTTACAGGAAGATTTTTGGTGATGGTGCTACAGAGTTGCCCACAACCTCATGATGCTTCTCTGGTGGGCTTGCACCTCAGGCCTGGTTTGCAGACTATCAGATTAGACTGCGGTTTCACGTGACTGCGGATACTGAGAACACCCACGTTTGAGCCAGCTCTCTGAGCTCCCTCATGCTAAACACATCAACAGGCATCTCATTCTATCCAAGTAAAGTGGGATATAGTGTTTACTCAAGATTACATTTTCTCTCCATTAACTCTAGAGAAAGGAAAGATGATTCAGAGTAGTTAAATCACTTTTGGATGACTGAAATTCAGAGGCTAAATCCTACTTAAGGGTAAAAAATCTGTGCCTCATTCCAAGACCAGGAAAATAATTTGTTCAATCATATCAATAGTACTCCTTTGTGAATATAATTGACTTTCACTTGTCATTTCATGTTAATTCAAAAAAGGTGTGTGAAACAATACCCAGCAGTCGCTGACCTAACCTACCTCTTTGCAAAACTCAGAGGAATTTGAAAATGTTCTTTGCTCAGGCCACTGAGAGCACTAAGGATTTTCACAGTTCACCACAAGCTTATTGAGTCACTGAGTACTTTCCCACCTGTGCCAGCGGAGGAGGCGGGGAAGGAGCGCGGGCTGTGGATGAGGACAGTGCACTGGCCATACACACAGAACAAACCAGCAAGTCAGACACTGAGAACTTGTTTGGCTTTGATTTTTACAAATTAAAACCATGACATATTATCAGAACACCAGGCTGTTTCTGAAGAGGCAAGCACACAAGCTAGCTGGTTTATGATAAAGCTTAGGAGGCAAGGATACACTTTAAGTTAAGGATCCAGCTGGCTCCATGATCAAAAGTAACTCTCAATGAGGGCCAAAATTCCCACGCAAATCAAAGCTACTGTGAACCACAGTGGTTTCCAGCTGACAGCTAGTAGCTGGCAACTTTCCTGTTTGATTTCTTATGATAGTTTAGGTGGCATTAACTTAGACTTTTGAATCACAGAAGAGCCTGACTGGCTGGGGTCTTCTGGAGATACTTGGTCCCACCAGCTGCTCGAAGTAGGGCCTGAGACCAGGTTATTCTGGGACCTCTCAGTCTGAGTCCTGAATATTTTTGGTGCTTCAGTGAAATGTTTAGTTTCATTTACCACAACAAATTAAAGAGATGCACAAAACACTGATCTTCAGTGTTTCATATGACCATTTTTAAGCCTTCACTATTCTTACAAAGACAAAACATAATTTGCTTTATAGATTTCCACAATTAGAGCAAGAGTGCAGTTGTGCTGGCACAACGAAGCCTAAGGCACTAAAGTAAGAGAGGCACACTCTGCTTTCACCAGGGCAATTAGAGAGTTGTTTTCAGGACAGTCTAATTATCCAATTTCACAAGTCCTTCATGCACAGATGTGCCATTATCTTCAATGGCAGCTTCAGATATACCAGGGATATATACACACCCACATACACAGGGGCGGGACATACGTGGGGATCTGAAGTTGTGTCTTTCCTCTTGAATTTTCATACTTGAAAGGAAATAATGTTTGTTTTTGCAGTCCCAGACAATGTGAGAAAAATGTTTCTCAGATGCATTGCTACCATAAATATTAATAAAAGGTATATTTTAAATATCAAGTTTCTCTAGAAAAAAAACTGTTTTCCATAAATATCTGTTCTAGATGTATATGAAACTTCATGCATTAAATTGTACAATTGCATTTCTAATATATGTTACTGATTACAGGAACTATAATTATCATTGCAAAGGCTTAACATTTTTTATGTTAATGATAAAGTAATTTTAAAAAACATATTCTGACAGTAAAAATTTATTAAAAGTGCTCAAAGTATTATAACAGTGTGTTTCAGCTCTAGATTGCTGGACACTGCTGTCCAAAGGAATCACGTCTCAAATGCATTTTTATCAATGTATATAAGAAAAAAGCTCAACAAACTTACAAAACACCCAAACCAACAAAACCACTTTCTGGCAGCTTCTGAAGGGAGACAGCAGGACAGAACAAAACACTAGGACAAATCCTTAATGGGGCTGGCTAGGACTGGGAGAGAGGCCCCCAACGATGTGGTGTGGAATTATTTGCTTCCTGCAGCTTTTCTCCCTATGCCTGTTGGGAGCTGGCTGCCCAACCATCTTCACATGCACTAATACAATAACAGTATTTTTAAAATAGTGTAAGAGGCATACTGAGAGAGCACTCAGATATAGCATTTCAGGATGCCTACCTTGGCTCCCACTTACACCAATTTGCAGCATTAGAAGTCTCCAGGCAAAGTGTGCTCGCATTTTCTATAGACTGCATCACAGTCTGGGGAAGAGCTGAAACACATTCAAGTACTGACACATCCTTGTAGTTCATCTTTTGTTTTTAGTGCACTCTCCACAATTTCAGTTTCAGATGCCTTCATGATTCAGCTGAAACTATAATGCAAGAAAAAATAATAATAATTTCCCAAGATCTTTCCTTCCTATGTCATTCACTATGTTCTGGCATGAAGCACTGCCTTTTAAAATACCCTGCTGTAGGGATGAGCTATGGAAGCACTCATGGCATCGCTCCTGCTTGACCTATTTCCCCTGGTGTCGTAGGAAAAGTTTATATCTTGTTTCCAGCCAAAGACAAGGCTTCTAGGATGGCAATTCAAGGGTGTCCATTCTGCATTCTCTTTGCATAGTTTTTGTCGTGGCTCTGATCTGCCTCAGCTCTTCTGGTGTGATCAGAGACTACCGCAGCATCACTCTTGAGAGGACAGCTGGTGTTCCTTGTAAAACAAACCTGCTTAAGGCTTTCGTTCCTAAATTCCCCAGTGCAGGTGCAGAGAAGCACTAAGTTACAGTACCCTGATCCAACAGGCTGCCTTTGCAGAGCAAAGGCTCAGCTTGGAAGTGGCAATTCTTCCAGTGTGTCTCTTTAATCCCCATTATGATCACTGATAAGTGAGTGATTTAACAAAGATATGTTGATCTGTGCTTTCCCTGGGCTCTCCAGCTGACCCCTCTCTTCACAGCACCATGTCCTCAGCATATTGCTGGGCAGCCCCAGCAGCATCAGAGGGACAAACACTGCAGAGTACATTGGATTTCTGCTACAGCCAAAGGGCCACAATGTGCCCCTTCCTTCTGCCTTTTTCTAACAAACTGACGAACAGCCTCTTCCCTGCTTCTGCCCAGACAGGGGCATCAGCTTCACAGCTCTTGGTGCTGACCATGAGCAGAAAGAGCGGGAGCAAGCATGAACACTGGACATGGCCTTTGCTGTGCACACCACACCTGTTCATAGACAGGTTTTCCCTTTGGGCTCTGCACCGTGCCTCACTCATAGCTGCTAAAATCAAGCCTTCCAAGAATAAAACATTGCATATTCAAAATGGCACTGAAATTTTCCTTTCAAAACAGCATTGCAAACAGGGTGACTCCCACTGAGTGGCTGGAAACACAGTCTGCTATTTATATACAGAAAATGCAAGGAATTTAAAATCTGCAAGGGTGGGAGAATGCAGAGCAGATCTCATCTGCCTCATGAGTACCAAGTCCTGCCACAGGCAGGTCAAGAAGAACAGAAAGTCTTTCTGAGCAGTGACAGAGTCAGTGGGACATTCAGTGGGAGCTCTTGGGGTCGTAACAGCCTATCCCAAATTTCTATTGCCCGTTCTTATCCACAGAATATCAGGTTTGGACTTGTTTATGTACTAACTATATATGTGGCTACATAAAGCCTAGATAAGCAAAAAGATACAGCTATTTCTACTTATACAAGCTCTTTAGTTAAGATAATAACTCATTAGCAGCATGGTTTTAATCAGAATCAGTTTAAAGTCACTCTATCTGAGCACAGAACTTACACTGTCTATTCTAGTCTCCCTCTGAAATTCAGAGCTCTCCACACTTTGAAGTAATGTACAAACATTTACTGCTAGATCCTATCCACTACCATCAATAGCATACACACATCCAAAACATAGGAAATGAACTGGATTAATGGGACATGACCTGAGTAGACAGTCAGGAGATTCTTGCCTAATATGGACTATAGTTCAATAGTGCAGAAAGCAAAACTCTGGTACTGGTTTTAGGATGGTATTTCAGCAGGAAGAGATGCTACCATTTGCTTCCTTACCAAGAATAGGGTAAATCTAATGTAACTTTCAATAAGCAGAACTGTGTAGTGTACATAGATTTTAGAATAAAATCATAGTATGTTATTTCCATCTTAAATCTCAAATGCAAAAATTGACTGACTATGTCACTGAATTAAACAACTGAAATATACAATTCAGTTGTTACTGTAATTTTTTTTTAAACAAAAGTTAAAATACAGGACTTGTAGAAGGTAAGCCAAGGAATGAACTCCACAGTTTCAGAGTCTGAATTAGAAAACTCCTGTGCAAACACACATTCCCAGGCAGAAAATGGAAAGTTGCAGATTACCTATAAAAGCTCAGTATGCCAATTTCAGAACATGCTCTTAAAATTCTCCTTTTAGAATTTGA